TAAACACAGCTTTAAAATAATTTTCCAGGGTTTCTGAAGAAATGAAATATCCATTGATTTGGGGGGCTGCTGTTGAAGCTATGATATCTTGATTTTTGTTGGATGTGTTCTTATAACCACCTCAAGCTATCTACTTATCCATTACCTTTGTTGTTTGTTCCTGGAGTCTGTACTTCAGCCTGGGTCTGCCTTTCTCTGGTGTCTGGAGTATTCTTCAGGGAATATGAGAGAGATTCATGATTTGAGACTGTGTGTTGGTGTTTCAGCTGTAACTAAAGGAGGAAGTTCACAGGCACAGTTGCACAAGTACGGGTGAGCAAGTGAAGGAGTATGCATAGAAGTATGCCTTGTAAGACAGGGTCCTAGAGTGTTGATACCTGGAATGTGGGGCTTAAGTGTAGGAGAGGATGCAGGTGCTGGCTCTGTTCATGGGTGCAATGTGCATGTGCAGGTTTCCCTGAATACTTTGGTGGCCTACAGGCCTGTAGTACTGTCCTCCTGGTATGCAGATCTGTCTATTCTCCAGGAAATTATTGCCTGGACTCCACTGAGAGACCCACAGAACAGGGGCTTCAATGTTGATAATGCTGTCCCAAGAATCCCTATATTACCCACAGTGGGTGAGTGGGTTGGAAGGATCCATTGTCTGGCTGCTAGCATAGAAGGAAGGACTCTGAATCTTGGGCTCTGCACACACTCACTTGAAAGTGCACTCATGCATTAGTAGGCCTAATTAGAAAGCACAGATGTTCCCCCTGTTCTGTACTCTCAGATTTGGACCTGCAGGGGCAAATGAGAGTGTAGGAGTCCAGTCAGCTCAGTCGTGTCCACTGTTTGTCTGCTGGGCACGGGGACCCTTACTTGGGATAACCACTTCTGTTATCTCAGTCACGGAGCATGGAGGCTCTTGTTAGGGATAGCAGCCACCCCGCTACCACCACTGCAGATCTGGTAGGCTGATACATCTCCCCACTGGGAGGCCCTGGAAGCCTATACAGCTGCCTGCAGACCTGGGAGACTCTGGGAAGCCTGGATAACCTTCCACATACCTGGGATGCCCATCCTGTGGCCTGCTGGGAGTCAAGCCACAGCTGCGAAACTGGGAGGCCAGTACAGAAGCTTTCTGGGAGGCCCTTTGGAAATCTGTACAGCTGCCTGCACCAACAGAACTGGAAGGTCCACCTCTGCTGTCTTAGTTACCGAGCAGGGAGGTCCATGCTTGGAGCAGCAGGCACTTCAAGCCACCTCTGCGAAGGAGGGAGGCCTATTAAGGGGAAGTGCAGGGGTGTGAATATTTATCACTTTCAGTCCCTGGAGACATCCTCGGGTGACATGGATTCAAGTGGTCTCAGCTCATGGGTTGTCCCTTCTTGCCTGGGAAGCCTCAGTGTCAATGTTCTGGCTTCATCTGCCCCTCCACTCACCAAATTCAGAGTTTTGGATCCTGTGCCCCTCAGATATGGTGCGTGCTGGTCGCCACCATCTTGGAACGACCCCCACCCCCCGCTCGCGCCCTTATTTATTTTCATAGCACTGCGGTTCAGTCTCAGGGTCTGGCACACACTGGTGAGTTCCGTCCCCAGTTTATGCTTTAAATACAAACTTTCCATTAATGTAAAATATACAAAAGCCTTCACTGTTTACAGGTAACAGTTAAATTTATTTTTTCTTTTGGAATTTTTCTCCCCATTGAACTATAGCCGGTCCATTATGAAGAAAAGAACTGGTGTGAGGAGCAGTACTCCGGGGGCTGCTACACAGCCTACTTCCCTCCTGGCATCATGACCAAATATGGAAGGTAATATCCAACCACTACATCAACTCATATAAGGCTGGCATGCATTCAGGCAAGCCTTGTTCAATAAGAATTATGTAACGGGGGATTTTCTTCTTTGTAAATTCCAGATAGTCAACTTGTAACTCGGTGGATGTCCCTAGAGAAATGCACATCAGTACATAGAGCTGTTGCAGAGTACTAGGCAGGACTGCAGATGCAGCACTTGTAAAATGAAGACAGCCACATTGTCTTTGGGAAAGCCTTTTGAGCTCTCCTCAGCATTTACTCTCACAGAGTTACTATATACTCCGTGGTACTATTGTACACAGAAGGACAATGGCTGCATTTACCAAATAGATCTATCTTATTAACAGAGAAGCATCAAATATTCCTCTCCAGAATAAAGAGTGCTCAGCGTATACAGCTGAGATGGGAGGAGATGAAATCTACATGGCTGGGACTATACTTTTATTTAGAAACACCTTGTTTCACATATATTATTATTATTATTTGCCTTATAGGCATATGATCCAGAATCACTTGTTCAGTTTCAAGAGATACCACACAGAAGGAAGCATAAAGTGATAGCCTTCTACCAGGCATTCATAATTTCTTCACAATTTTCCCTGTCTGGTTGTGATTACCACTGTATCTCTCTCTCTCTCTTTCTCTCTCTCTCTCTCTCTCTCTCTCTCTCTCTCTCTCTGTGTGTGTGTGTGTGTGTGTGTGTTGGGGGTTCTTCAGCAAATGATGTATTATCTAGTCATATCACACTTTCATCCAGTTTCTGGAGAACCAATTGTAGAATGTTAGCATTGGGTTACAGGTTACATCTGTCCATGGACAAAAAAGCAGACCTTACTTACATTTGCTTTCAAGAGCATTTTGGTTATCTTTTTTTTTTTTCTTAAATTCAAAAAAACTATTGTTATTAAAGCAAGACTGTTAAACAGATCTAGTTATGGAGTCTCAATAGAGATCTAAATGGCAGAAATAGAATCAAGAGGAAATGACACATAGGCTTCTTGAATTGGAGAAAGGAGTGCCAAAGGGTTGAGACGAGGCTTTTGGCTGGGGGGGATATACAGTTTGGGGGAGTTCATATAAATGTTCAAGCAAAAATAACTCCAAGAAGGTTGTGTTAGACAGTTGCGCATTGAATCTATCCCTTCCTTGGTCCTGTTTATCAGAACTTTCTTATAGGAAGAATCTATTTCCTCACCCTTAGCTAGTCCCCATAAAAGTTTTGACAAATTTAACAGATGATGTTATTTTTTTAGAAGTACTTTTTTAAATTTTTTTATTAATTACACTTTATTCATTTTGTATCCCCCCATAAGCCCCTCCCTCCTCCCCTGCCGATCCCACCCTCCCTCCCCTTTCTGCATGCATGCCACTCCCCAAGTCCACTGATAGGGGAGGT